ATTTTTTCAGCTCTCAAAGAACACGACGCCATAGCCAGATTTATTGCGCGGGAGGGTCTCGGTCATCTTGGATTGAGAGAGTTTACTTACTAGCCAAGGATGATAGCCGCAGCCAATCCGGTTTGGGACTATCTGGCATCTACCATTGCCCCAATTGATCTCTCGCGGCGAGCCTCTAGCTTGTATCGGATCCGTATTCCAGCGATGCCAACATCCGACGTTCATTTTCTGTCATGGTTTATGCCTGGGCCCCACCTAGTTTCATCTTTCTTCAGGAAAAACCAGATTTGTGACCCCCGGACCCACGACCAAGATGGCGCCAATGAGCTACGCATTGGCAGGGGCCTCTTCGTGTAGCGCTTTCGTCTCTACTCGAACGTTCTGTGAATACTACAGCTGTACACTTGATGTCGGTTTACCTGTAAATGGTCGTGTGGCAACCCCGTATAAAGTTCGCGCCAAGGTTGCGTGTGCATCGAAGGACGCGAAAAGGTATTTTGGATTCTTGGCAGGCGTTGTCGCCCGAGTGTCGGTGCTGTGGACTGGCTACCACTATTGCCTTGGGATTTTCGTGTCTGTGTTTTGAGTTAATGCCCGCATTCTCTGCCCTTGTCCTCCACCTGTTGCTGCACATCGCCTGCCAGTGCGTCTCTTGTTTGGCTGGACTTTTAATATATAAACGTATTCCCCATCAACGGCCGCGCCTTCGCAAAGTTCGCCCTCTTCTGCGCCGCCCTCTCTGCCTCCGCCTCCGCTCTCCCCACTCCCCGCCATGTTTTCCGCAGCCCTTTTGACAATGATTCAGACCGGCCAGGGTACGCCATTTCCTTGATATATTCCCACACCCGATCTAACATGCTCAACCCCAAGGTGCCTTTTTCAGCCGTGCGTATCGTCCATACCGTGACAATGTTTCCCTAGTACCCATTTCTAACCTACTTTCCCCAGATGACCTCGGTGACTGGCATAGTCAACAACGCTAGTCAATTTATTGGCTCTGTCTCACTAACCATTTTTAACTCCATCCCGTAAATTTGGCCCTTGCCTCATTTTCTAATATTGTGTTCGCTATAGTGGATACGACGGGGTTGATCCGACCACCAACCCCATCTGCGAGCAGTTTGTTCGTGTTATCTGTAAGCACCAGACAAGAATAACATTATCCCAGGAGTTCTCACCACCCCACCATCCAGTGGAAGGGAGAGCTGTTACAATCCAAATCACTGGCAGCTGCGAGGGCTGTGCAGCGAATGATCTCGATCTCTCTCCAGCTGCTTTCAACGCACTCGCCGATCCTAGCCTTGGTCGAATTAGTGGCGTCCAGTGGTCCCTCATTTGAGAACATGACTGGTCCGGCGTGCTCCCATTTCCCCTTATTCCATGAGTTTTCGATGTTTTTCGAACGCATGTCTCCGCAAATCCTCTGTATCCCGTGTATCCGTGATCTTGGGTGTCAATGCTGATTTGATATTGTCTGAGGCGGTTGCCCGCTGCTATCCGTCTCATTACGATATCTACATTTCAGCCGTCTAAGCTGTCTTCACTACCACTATATATGGCACGCGTGAGCCGAATCCGATCATTGCGAAGACCAGGGCAAACCAACGTGGACCTGAAATATGCCACGGCAATATTTTGGCTCTCGAGTACAAGGACAAGTGCAGGCGGACCAACATTCAACACACTGAGACGGTGTCCTGGAGACCAGATGAATATGCTGATTCCCGCGGGCCGCCCGTACCCCCACGCATAGTTCCCTGAATAGTACAAAGCAGGAGTTGTTGATCATCTATACAGTGCTACAATTTATTTAGGCTGATACTAATTGGTAATTGATAGTTGAAGGTTGCCTGGGCAAAATTTTAACAACCCGAGTTCTCTCCACTTCGGGTCCTCCCTTTCCAAAGTACCGTTCACTCTGCGGAGGGGTAAGCATAGTACAAGAACTACGCGCTCACATACCTCGAAGCTCCAAGAATCATTTGCGCGAACCCAATTTCCGATTCCATGGACATATTCCGCCACCTGAGCGTCCAGTGCGGGTGACCCCCACTTACTGGGAACATGCTTGTACTCCTCCAGGAAGGTCCCAGCCAAATCATCGTGCAAGCGAGAAATCCACGCTAGAGCCTCCTCAAGGGTGCTCCCCCGCTCGTGCATAACAATTCTGACAAGGTTGTGGCCATCGTCACCGCGAGCCTGCCTATCATCCAAAACATCAGCCGCGGCTTGCGCCAGGGGCCCGCGAGGAATAGGCCACATACTCGACATTATATGAGCAGAGATCATTCCCGACAATCACCATATCAAGACAAGCCAGCGTGAGTCTCTGGATTGCGGGATCCGCGAGAACATAATCCGGGAGATCCAAATGGATCTCACATATGGTCAATGACGGTTTCAGCCCGATTGTGTCGCGCCGGACATCGAAGTAGCTCTTGATATCGCGAGTGTAGTTGTGACTCCGATCCTCGGCTTGCTGTACGACGGCATCCGTGTACGATTTAAAATAATCTACGAAATGCTGCTGGGAGGTGAGGGACGCCGTCTTGATGGCGTTCTCCCAGAATCTAGCTTGGAGATTGAAAATGAGCATTGAATGCAAGAGGATTGAACACGAACTGGCGCGCTGCTTCACCGCCAACCCATTCGCCCTGCGGCCGGGCTGTGTGGGGATGGTGAAGTGCATCCATGATAATATCGGCTTGTTGGCGGGCGCTACGGGCATCCGCGACGTCCGAATGTTCATCAATCAAGAAAAATAAATTCATCAGATCGCAACCGACACGACAACCGACTAAATAGCGTCAATTAAAATTCAACAGCACACAGGGTGTGACCAAACCTTTGTCCAACAACGGATAAGCCAACGACGCAAGCAAGCCTGTCGAACAAGTCAAATAAACAGAGCATTCAGTTGATAAAATCGATGTTACTAACTGAAGTCGCAGCGATTGAAAGCATCCTGGGCCTTCGGGCTGAAGGCCTTGAATGTTTCAAACCAAGCGGCCGATTCCATTTTGCAGACTGAATAATGGGGATTGAGATGACGGCGCCATGGCCAATTATGGAGTGTATCGGGAATTCTGTAATATAGATATGGGTCGGGCTTGCCAATGTCCTTGACGCGACGATAATGGGATGTAAACCAAGAGTGGATTTGGGGCATTGAGGCAATGAATCTCATGCCAATGGTTGGTGCTGTGTTTCGGATGAGATGGTGCCACGATGCTACTATATGGCGAGTTCAATGCCCCCTGTTTGCTCATCGCCGTCCGAATGGGGAGCAAGCTTCCGGCGTTACCATTATTCCTATCGACCATCCCTTCAAACGATTCTACGATCCTACGGATGTGCACGAACGGAGTCTTCGTTAGCTGGGTCATTTCTTATGATCGAAAAGAGCCATGAATTTCCATTTTGAGCTTTCCTGATTAGTGAAATCTGCGATTCTAAGCCATTTTGAGATCCCGATGGTGGGACGCACAGCGTACGACGCGTACTAGACGTGCCATCGCGCCCAATTGGGAAAGCTTAAAAAGGAAATGTCCGATCTAAACTCAGATGGACAGGCCCCTCTAACGAGGGGTCGTTCAACTTGAACCCATGATTAGGAGGGAAAAGAGATGTAGCATTCGCCCAGGACCCCCAGGTAGGACAATTTTTATCATTATTGGAGATATTATCTCCCGGCACATGTTGCACATGGATGTGATTCACCGTTATGTAGGTGTTCCCTTGGGACGCAACTGAAGGCCCGTCCATATTTAGGTGGATGGTAGAGACGCCGTCATAGGCCCAGATTTCCATCTGTATTCTGGGTCTTGCTAGTGTAGGTATGTTTCGAAATAAATCGATCGCAGCAAGGGAGGCGCTGGTGGCAAAAATAGTCGGTCGGCAGCCGTTGGGATTAGGGAGAAGCAGAGATAAATCCCAAAACTGACTAAGTGGTGCTGGAAAAGCCGCCGACCAGCGGCTGCCAAAGCGTTTTATTTACGAAACTGCTGTTAGACTAGCCATGTTTAGAGCGAGACCAAGAGTGGAGGCTGTCTCCATATAGAGATAACGCGCGAAGCTTCTTTGTTGAAGCTTTATAAGGAAGGTTTGCCAAGTTGCAAGCCGAGACGCCATATGTAGTGATTTTAACACCCGGCCCTGATGGATGGATTTGAGTAAACTTCAAACACATATGCGAGCACCATTCGTGCGTTGGAGAGTGTTGGAAGTTGGAGTCAAAATTCGGGCGCCCGAGCCAGAGATTTATTGGGTGAGAGGGTGGTGGGAGACTCGAGAATTTACTAGGAAGCCTGGCCAAGACCAAAGATGGTAGCCTGCGGCCGTCTCGAGGAGAAAGACGCGGGGAGAAGCAGACCCCAGGTGTGATATCATCAGATATGGTCAGGCCTTTGGGAGAATGGGCCGGTTTGAGACTATTTGGCATCGCAAAAGGATCGCTTGCGTCGGATCCGCATTTCAGTGGCTAACTCGGAGCCGTTATTTTTCTTTCAGGAAAAAACCAGATTTACGACTCGCACCGACAAGCTCAGAGGAGGCCTCGTCTTCGTGTGGTGCTCCCAGTCCAAGTCACTACCAGTTGTGAGGGCTAAATGATCTCGATTTCTCTCTGGCTGCTTTCAACATACTACTCACTGATCCTAGCCATGGTCGGATTCATCCGGTGGTCCTGGGCTTGAAAATGTGGCTGGTCCGGCCCCGTACTCTCATTTCGCCTCAATTCACGAGTTTTCGATGTTCTTTTACATGTATATCTCCGCAAATCCTCTATATTCGGTGTGCCTGTGATTCTAGGTGCCAATGCTAGTTTGATATTGTCTTAGGCAGTCTCCCGCTACTATCTAACTCGTTGCAATATTTACACATACTTCAGCTGTCTTCGCAAATGTGACGCGTGACGGACCACGGAGGCAATGGGCACGAAACAGCTGAGCTGAATATGGTTGCTGTGAAGACCAGGTACAAAACAAGCAGCAGTCGTCTAGACACCGATGGTGAAGCGGTTATCATGCTTGCCTTCCACTGTATCGCCGTGAGCAAGCGGCAGGGGTTCGACTCCCCTTCGGTGTAACCTTTTTCCCATTCTTTATCGTTCATCAGGATCACACCGTCGAATGGTCCAGTCATTGGCCAAATTGGTGGGAGTAGCATTTGGGATGGTTGTTAATTTATGCAGCTTCAAGGTCATAACTATTCAGACATACACAGTACACACAAAGTCTGAGCGCAGTAAACAGTACCGTAGCGCCATCGTGTCCAGTCATTTCAAGATATACCCTCCCTCTCATAAGCTGTAATCGTGTTCATCCCCGCCTTCCTTCTTTTCTTTCTCTCCATCATCGCCCTCATATACGTATGCATCAGGGTTCAGCACCCCCAATGGGCTGCTCTTAAACTTCGTCCCTTTCACTGTTGCGCTGCGTACCATTCCGGGAGGCGCGGGAGTGAGGGTCGGCGCTGATGTTGCAGGAACTGCAGTTGTCGCGCCCATGAGGCGCCGCTTGCGATCGAGAAGGATCGCCTCAAGAGAGGGCGCGGGGGATGTGCTGCGCGAAATCGGGGCGGCAGTGGCGACCGGGTGGACACCTGCGGACACAGCGAGGTGGCCTGGTAGAGCGGCGGGCCTGGCGTCTGCAACCAGAGCAGGGTGACCGCCAAGCGGCGTATGGCCACCCATGAGCATTGCGGACATATCCCCAAGGCGCGTGCGGCTCTCACTCCTGCTTACAACGGGTTGCGGCATTTGTATCGTCGTCGGCACCGCGGCGAGATTCGAATCTGACACGACAGGCAGTTGTATTGTGGCAGTAGCGACTGGGGCGGAAGGAAGGACTGTGGGTGTGTCCTCGCCATCTCGAGGGCTCGGGGGCGCACTCTTAGATCGGAGGAAGTCAAGGCCCTTCAGTGCGCTCGGCTTGTGAGCGCTCACCGGTTTGGGCATGTGTGGCTCGGGAACAGTGAGCACGGGTGTGTCTGTGGTTGCCGCAGCGGTCGGGACGTAGGGGTCGCCGTGAGCGCCTTGTGGGTCAAATTCGTCGTATATTTCTTCACCAATGAGTTCTTGAGTTTTCCGTTAGTCTCACATACTAATATGCGGAATGGATAATAATTGACCTTCAAGGACATCCTCAAGTGTGATGATTCCGAGTGGCATAACGGCTGGATCGAAGCCTTGCAAGAACTAGGGGATTTTTTTTAGTTGACGGCCTCCAGGGTAACAGATATTGGATTCACCTGGGCTGCATCCTCTTTTGCGAGCACGGCGTCTGCCGGCATACTCTGCTCCAACATCGACATCGACGTCATCCCCGCTGGAAACTGGAAGCTAGTCCTTCTACTCTTCACCGTGGGGGTTGCAACGCCCTCCGGCGTAGCCTCCGGAGCACGTTCTTTCGTGCCCTTCTTCTGGCTCCGTCCCCGGGAGGTCGTCACCATAGCGTTGTCATACCCATAGTCCTTCATGCGCACGCCGTCCCCTTTCAGTGTTGCTTCGCCATCATCAGTCGTGCCTTCCTCTACATCGCGCCCCGCACGCGCATGTTTCGACTTCCGGCGCTTCTCGTATTTGCGCGCCGTGTTCTGCTCGTCGGACTCGTCGCTCGAGTCCGAGTCACCCATCCCAACACGCTCACGCAAACGCTGCGTCAACCCACGCTTTACCGCCTTCTTCACGCTTGCGGCCTAACACACCGTCAACACTTTACTGGGACACGGTAGATTCGAGGCATCCTACCTTTTCGACACTAAACCGGCTGACGATGGCCATGTGACTTCGGCCTTCCTGGAACTTATCGAGGATGCCGAGGAGCGGCTCGTTATTGGGCACGAAGGGGACCTTGTTGAGTGGAATCTTGCGTAGCGGGGTGGCATCTATAAGTTTTTATTAGTATAGAGACTGTAGTCGCTGGCAGCGACCAATTCACCTTTTGGATCTAATAAGACGCATTGCTTCACGAGTAATATCCCTATGATCTTCTTCACCCGTTGTATCTGTTTATCTCCCAAATTCTGCGACGCCGGCATGAGAATGTCCACCTCCTCATAGACAGGGATACGGCTATGCCCAGTTTGGCAGATCTTCTTCATTAGGTCGTAGTCTAGCTTTGAGTCGATGGAGAGCATAAAGACATCAGATATTGGGGTCATTGCCTATACACACTATGTCAACCATCACATCATCTCAGCGGAAGAACATACCTGCTTTACAACCTTCTCCTGCAGGTCAAGGGTTGCACCGATGATTGTCACGGTGTCCGTTTTGAGGTCACCGCCGTGAGTCGCATGTGAGGAGTGCATTGCGATCAGCTCTTTCAGTTCTATCGAAGAAAATCTCAGCGACCCATTCCACGATACTGATTGAACGCACCTGCACGGCGATATATGATTCCATGGTGCGAGCCAAGCGCAAACTCGAGTAATTTAGCAACAGGCCATGCAAGAACACCCTGGGTGGTATCACAGTTTAATGACAATCGGGTAGGTGAACGATCACATACCATGGCATATATCAACACTTTGGTGAACCCCGCCATCTTTGCTCCGAGGTACAGCCCATGACGAGTGAACAGAGACTGAGGGATAATTTCCGCGAAACTATTGCAGGGACAATAAGCGATGTATCCAAGACTGCCAAGACTGGCCAAGGTTGTAGATTAGGAATGAACGCGTGACGTCATATAATTGGTCGCCCTCTCCGAAACGACCCCGGAGAAGACATAGGCACGGTCACGGCTTCACCAAGCGGGGCAGGCGCCTGCCGCCGGAAGCGGAGAAACTCCGAGATTCTGATTCCCCTCGGCCCGAAGGTGGGGGTAGTTGGGCTCAGGCTCTAAATATATGCACTTACATGACAATGAGGACGGTGCTAACCACGACGCTCTGGAGCCCTCCGCCGAGGACAGAATCGGCAATGACAGGGAGGGTTTCATTTACGATCATATTGGCCAGGAGCAGCGTGACGAGTAATAGGTGCCCGTTCTTCCGAATAGGCTTGATCTTGTTTGCATACTCTCGCTGTTTACTACCCACTGGATTGATAACGATGAGGTTTACAAATATGATAGATAGCGTACGTTGTTCCACTAATGCTTAAGACGTTGAGCTGGGTTTCATCCAAGCTCATGTAGCCCAAGGTCAGACCGGCAAACAAACCCGACAGGAGAACAAGCACGGGAATAAGGACGGCAAATAAAATACTCTTTGGACTGTGTGGGTCAAATTCGGAGTCGCACCCGGAGGCGCGCTTCGTAATTGCAGGGCCTTCGCTGCGGCTAAAAACTTGAGAGACATACTGGGGTACAAGGGCTACGAGGTTATATAGGAGGCGGGAGGAATGCGCTTTTCGGACTGATAATGAAGCTGGGACCATTCGATTCCGGGTGGGGGAGAGAAACAAGGGTCTGTGTTGCGTGGAAGGCGACGACATGTGCCGTGTCACAGTCACAGATGGCGTATTCAAAAACGTAATTACACCGAAGGGGAGTCGAACCCCTGCCGCTTGCTCACGGTGATGGAGTGGAAGGCAAGCATGATAACCGCTTCACCATCGGTGTCCCCAACATAGGCGCGCAGGCGCATACATCATTGGGCGTTGAGGGATTATTGCTGACGTGGTTGGCTGTGTTATTTCCCAAAGTCAAAGCCATGAAAGGAATTATCTTATCGTAGCCACGTGCCCATTGGAAATTTTGACACTGGCAACAGCGAGCAGGCAATCCACTATGGGGCGCCTTCGAAAAGAGAAGGGAGCATCCTTGTCTAAACCAAAACCTAAAAAGGCAGATAAAGATCTCAAGAAAAATGTTCTGGCACTCGGGGGAGATCAAGAGGATTACGAACTCGTGAAAGATCTCGACGAGTCAAATATCCCGGGGCCCTCAAAAGCAGACGTGCGTTTCTATCACTATAAAACCAGGCATGGCGCTGACCGCTGCCCCTGTAGCCTGGATTATCGGCGGACGTTTCAAAGTTCTTCAAACGTCTGAATTTCGCCAATGCCACCGCTGATGATGGCCAACCGAGCGAGGTTTCCTCTCCAGTTACTGAAAGCCCTAAAAAGTCCTCAAAGAAAAATAAAACACCTAAAGGAAAACAACCACAGAACCGGGAGCACACCACTGCGGACAAGCCTGTGGCGAAGAAGACCGAACCAGATCCACCAAGGGTCCAACTGCCAACCAAAGTCTCACTTAACCCGAAATCACATTTTGTATTCGCACCAACCGCGATGTGGCATTTAGCGCTCTCACCGCTCTCCCCAACGCCCGTCACAGTTGCGACACCGGCTCAGCTTTCTCCCCTGACGTCCCGTGCGTCTACTTTGCACGACGCGGATATCCAGATGTTCCAAAAGGCGTCATCCACAAACTCATCCGCCTCCGAAGCCAGCTTCCTTTCCAAGATTATTCAATCTGGGACATTATCGGATCGGCTGAGCGCGTTGACGTTGCTTGTCCAGAGCAGCCCAGTGCACAACACGAAGGCATTGGAGACACTAAAGGGTATGGCAGAAAGAGGAAAAGGGAAAGGTGGGAGAGACGAGAGTCTCAAGGCTTTGAGATGTATTGTGGATTGGTGGGTTGGTGGAGGAGCCCCAGATCACAAACTAAAGTGAGTCGTATCGGAAATAGAGCACGGTTAACTTGACGTGCTTCAAGATATTTCCGAGATCAACCTGTGCTGCATCCATCAGTAACAGACGAATACCTCCTCCTTTGGTACTTTGAGGATTGGCTGAAAAAGTACTTTTTCTCGGTCCTCCAAATTCTTGAAGTACGACCCATCCATCACTCGCAAAGGTGGTATTTATCTGGATCTTTTAGACACTATCCCTGGACCCGCTCCCATACGTTCGTATGCAGTCCCTGACATTAATCTTCACCCTCCTCCGCGACAAGCCGGAACAGGAACAGAATTTACTCCGCCTTCTCGTCAACAAACTTGTGAGTCTGTCGCCTGCATTTTTACTAATCCTGATTTTTATACGATCAAAGGGTGACACCGATAAATCTCTCTGCTCCAAATCCTCCTACTATCTTCTACAGCTTCTCCAAACTCATCCGTCCATGAAG